TAGGTAATGCTAAATGGTTCTTAAAAATATTATAAGAAAATTATATAAAAACATTTTTATCCGGGCCGAGTTTACACCTAAATAATTTTAACCTGAAAAAAACACGGGCCGAGTTTACAATAGACCTTTTAAACATTTTTTTTCCTCGGGCCGAGTTTACAACCGCCCATCATAATAATGTTATATTTTTTTCGATAAATAATCAAGTTTAATGCCATCGTGAAATTTATGTGACATAACATGTCGTTATTAAAATGTCAAAAATGTACAATGAGAGAAGTATATGACGTTAAATTGCCTATATAATGCGCCGTCCAGAAAAAAACTATAATTGGACATAATATCTTTAATGACACGTTATTTTTGTATTTTAACTAATTATTGTTTTTACATTTTACTAATGGATTTACGTAAAATTTTAATAGACATTATATATTTATTTATCTTGTAGATCACATATCGGGTGGGTATTATATAGGACGTTAATAGTTCATACGTCATATTGTATATGTAGACATTACACAAAATATGTATACATTATTCTATAGTTATTAGTCGTTAATTATTTGTACATGCCTCATATATACCTTAATATTACTTCAAATGAATTCACAAATTACTTTAAAAAATAGCAACTCATAATAATTTTCGTAGGTAACTTTTATACTTCACGAATTACCTTACTATTCTCGTGAAAAGTCAATTATATAAAACAAAATTTGTTTTATAAATTGTCTGTCAAGGGGATTAACTGAAGAAAAAAAATGACTAAAGGGAAATAGCGCCAACAATTATTAGTATGAGTACATATGACGCTGTTGGATGGCACCTCACTGGTAGACTTTCGGATTACCTTTATGTTTGTAATTGTATTATTGTATAACATAAAAAGTTACTAATACTATATAACCCTATGACAAATTCATATAATCTGCAGTGTAGTAATTTTTTGATAACGCTATTTGTCAAATGACCTTTCGACATTATTCTGTAACGGATAAATACTGCAGTTAGGATTTGATATGGATGAGAGCTATATTACGATATATTTTTTTTCTTAAAGAAATGTTAGTAAAAATCAGTTTATCTCAACCATTATATAAACAAAAAAAAAAATGAACTAATCTAATTTACCATGTCTCTAGTAAATTTTATTTTTTATTTATTTATACTAGCTGAATCCGTCCACTTCGTTGCCCATTGAAAATTTTACCTCTTATATGGTTCATACTGTGTGTTAAATTCGTTTCATGTGATGATGATAGCAGTATATTTTTATACACAATGATATAATATATCAGTTAAAAATATTATAAAATTAAATGAATGATTGATTGAATCGACTGAGAACAATTTCAAATATACCTAATAA